TGGACGGAATGCCCGGTCTGTCTGGTTCATGAACGATATTGGAGTTTTTGTCAAACCGCTTAACATCACAAGGAACTCATAATGAACATGTTGAGTCCTGAACGCAATCTAAGGAACATCATCATTTCTGATCTTCAGCTGGTCACAACCAAACTTCAGATCTTGAAGAAAACTTGGGTTCTAAAGAGTTGGTCAGAGAGATCATTAATTCGAGACATGAATTAACGGTTTTATAATCGTCACCTAATTGAATTGCTTGTAAACAATGTACAATCTTACAATTCGGTCCTTCCTCCTTCCTCTTCATGAATGGAAGCAGAGGTTTCAACGGTGAAGTTTCAAGGAAAATAGGTGTTATACTTGGATGTAGATCAACGGTGCCACACACATCTCAATCTAGTGGCATCACAAGTAGATATTTAAGAATGTCGTCAGGAGTTTAATTTGACTAGATTCACAATTTCCAATTGTACCGCATTGTCTTCTTCCTCTGCAACACATGCTAATAAGCCTTCACAACTTTTTCGTAATAACGGTTTTCACCTTTACAGTAGGAATTAATTTGTGCTTCAATTTCTAAGGTTTGCCTGTGGAGGTGACCACATGGATGACAGGTCGTTGAAAAAATGACCACTTTTGGTCGATGCTCCACCAAAGGAATAATAATGATGTAGTCGATCCGTCTCTTGAATTATATGGAAATCCATGATATCCAGTGAAATAAGATGAACTGGCATTATTTGATTGGTAATGGAAACCAGTGCAACCATTGCACTTACACAAGACATTAAAGACTTGCCTCGTGACATTGGGATTCTCGAGACGTACTCGACTGAGGTACCATGTGATTGAAGTATTTGAACAAACAAGGGTAATATGACTGATTAGTGCTTTATGTCATTGATATAACTACGGGTTTGCTGTTCTCCTATATGGCTTGCTCCTAAGTTTCCACAATTGTGGTTCCATTGGCCCTACTTGTCTCGATACGTGTATGTAGGTTGTGCCGCTACCAAACGTTTCTATGGTATTCTAGTAATGTCTGCCTCCATGGAACTATAAACCGGTGTCCTGGAAATGAGGTATGATAACCAAATACTGCATTGTATTTTCAATATAAAGAAATCATACCGCATGGGTACTATTTCACAACTCTCGGGTACGTGACAGTCTTGTTCTGGTGGCAATTCTTCTCGATTTACTTTGTTCTTCAAACCTCATCTCCCTCAACCACTTTTAATCCAGTCTACGGTTAATTTTAAACGCATATTGTTGCGATCATTCGAGAGTGTGTGTAGAGTTCCAATGGTCACGCTGACTCGGGTGTTTACAACATCACCTCCTTCTTCGTATGCCTTTGTTGGCAGTGTTGTTCTTGGTAATTCCACGAGCTTTTTTCAATTTATGGCTGAGATTGGCGCGGCCTTCTTGGCTGGATGAAGGGATATTACTTCATTTCATCTCCGCGGTGCTACTTGGTTGGATTATTGGTGTTTACTGGGGAAATTGAATCAGATTGATCAGGAAACACTATTGTGACGGTGGTAGCAGGAATCTCAAACTTTCGTTTGTTTTGTATCTAGCTTTGGGCCCTTTTTAAGGCTCCTTTAGGTTAGCTTGGGAGGCCCCTTTTTATTTTGTTTATATTTGTACGTGGGCTTTTGATGTGTAAATTATTTAGGAATAAAGTTTTGTTTCTTTGAACGGAAGGGATTTCAAAAAAAATGTACGAGAAAGACAAATGAGAGAAGGTAAAAGGGGAAGGTAGTTAGCATTCCTCTAAACAAAATAGCAAAGTAGCAAAGTTTGTTGGAATGTAAAATTGCAAAGTAGCAAAGTTTAGTTTTCAAATTGTCACTTAGATCAGCAAACTTTACTATAACTTACGGGGATGAATTCGAATTTTAAGGAAATTTAATGGATTTATAATTTAAATTCATGAATATGATTGTGATGGAGTTTCCATGTAAAATTTTAATTCAATTCCCTCGAATTACAAGGGGAGAAGTTAGATTTGTGAGCTCCCTCGAATTATAAGGGGAAATGTTAGATTTGTGAGCGCTTAAAATACACTACGAGACCTATCCACTTCTCTCAATTCCTCAATTTAAAAAAAAAAAAGATTTAAAATCAATTTCTAAGTGAATACATCTGAAATGTTATAAATTTCTTTAAAATCCTAAATGAATACGATTTCTAAGGATTTTAATAAAATATCTAAATTTTTTTTTTCAAACGATATATATCTTAAATTCTTAATGAATACAGAAAATTACTTAAAATTATGATTGAATACTCCTATATTTATTAAAAAACTTAAAATCGATCAAAACCTCAACTTGTGGAGCTGTTAGAAATGCTCTGACGTCGTCTTTTTTTTTTTTTCCTTCTCTCACTGGCTTTGCTCCGGTGAAACTGATTATTGAATGTTCAGCTACCATTTAGCCTAATTCAACTCAACTTATATACGCAAACAGAAAGTTCAACTCAACTTGCAGAGGTTTGGTTAATTTCCCTGTTGGTCAAATGAGGCAATCAACCCTCACGTCGCTTCTTTAATCAAACGCCAACAGCGAATTAACTTTCTCAGTTATCAAGCCCTATCAAGCTACATGCTACATATTTCTAAAGCAAGCATTCTTCTATATTTAATTAAACTCTTTCATTTAGTGTTGAATTGTCAGTGCCCTTGTGCCTCAAAGTTTGTTTTGTGAAATTTGTCATATTTATCGTGAAAAGAATTTTGTTGCTGATGATTTGGCTTGTTTGGTTTTGTTATACAGTTTGGATCCAGGCTTTATTGAGCAAACTCCTACTTCTTATCATCGGTTGTTAGATGCAAATATAGCTAAGATCTCGTGACCTCGTGATATTCTTATGTAATTGTTCTTTTTCTTGTGGACTTATGTCTTGTTGTCAACCAAAAAAAGAAATTAAACTCTTTCATATAATTATAGTTAAAGCATATACCTAGTCAATGGAGAAAATATGCAATACTACTAGTTGATTACAGTCATGTGAGGCATACTTATCGATTTAATATATTCTATCACCTAGGATATACAACCATATATCTTTCTTTATCACATAAAAAGAAAGATAGACATTATTTTTAAAAAAACCTCCCATATAAATTTCCTATTAATGCACCTCAATCTTTGGTTTTTCAAGCATTACTTGGACTTGAAAATCAAGTTTTTAGGACGTCCTAGCATGCATGCATGCATAAAGCCTAATTTTAACAAACATTTTGTAGACGAATTAATTGGATTTAGATGTTTTCCCACCAATTAATCAATACACTGTTCCCTTTCTTCTGAACATGTAAAGCAAAGGTAAGGAAGTAAACACTATAACTTGTCACTTGTGAATATATCATCATGCTCTAATATGCATGTATAATCTCTTTGTACCGCCTTAAATTATTACGCTTTTGCTTTATTGTTGAAAAGCATGCCTAATATTAACTTGTCGTGGTCCCTTGATCTTTAATCCATAGATCTGCACAAGAGAAGCAGCAAGACACCCGTCGTAGCAAAAAAAAGTATTATAAAAAATTTCAGTTAACTAAATGAAGAACAATGTCGTACTTTTAATTTGTCATTTCACACTTTAAGTGAGTAAAATAGATTTCAGCGTGTAGAATGACAAACTGAAATTGTAAATGATGACTATCAAAGTAAAAGCTGAAAAATGCATGTTTGTACGTAATGGATTATACAATGTCAAAAATATATAGCAAAAACGTTGGGTTAGAATCTTTTGATGAAAATAAAAGGTGGTTTAGTTCTATCCGCTCAATAAATGTTCATATTACGGCTAGGACTACTGGGGTATCTAATCCTATTTGCTCCTCTAGCTTTCATTTCTTAATGTCAGTATCGACCTAGCAGAGTACTTTCGCTGTTGGTATTCTTTTCGATCTCTACTCATTTCACCGCAATTTCACAATCAATATCGAAAAGAAGTGTTAGATAATTTCTTTCTTCTTTTCTTGTTGCTTGTCGATGTACAATTTTGTACTATTTAATATAAAATTCCTCAAATTCATGTAGTATAAGGATTTTCTTCAGTAGAAACTGAAGATCAAGTAAAATGTGAATTCAACAGGATGGTTTCCAATGATTTATGAAGGTGATTCTCATATTCTTATGATTCAATTAGACGTTACATCTAAAAACATACCTTTTGTGGTTGTATAAGATGTTTTTTGTTGGAATCTTCTTTTAGGAGCATCTTCAATACAAAAACTCAAATTTTATATCTAAACTTATTTAAGTTCAAATTAACCAAAAAAAAAAGAAAAAAAAAATTTGGCTACAATACTTGGGCACAAATACCTATATTAACAGGAGTCCAAAATCAAAATTTGATTTGCAATTTGGATATGTGCATCGGAGATGATTGGAACTCAAAACTCAATTATTATTTTCTTGTAGACATGATACTCTACTCAAATTTCAGATTGAAACCCAAATTTGAATATCTTTTTAACCGGAAATCAAATATGAGTTTTGAGTTCTAGATCCCCATAGCATTGGAGATACTGCTACATATACATCGATCGAGATAAAAGTTTTGGAGAACGATGCATTATGTAGTGCACCAGATTCCTAGCTGAAAACATGAAATGAGGCACATGCGGTCACCAGAAACCCATGTGAGAGAGAGAGAGAGGGGGAGAGAGAGAGAGAGGGGGGGAAAGAGAGAGAGAGAGAAAGAGAGAGAGAGAATGGAATGGAAGTAACTAAGCGGTAAAAAGACGTTATATAAAAATATATATACTTTAAATAGTAAGACATATCAACCCTATTATAGCAAATTAATGGTACACATAAAAACTTCTCTAAGGGCATGCATGCTGTATCCAGCTGAGGCAGATGGTTTCCTTTTTCAAAGACGTACAGTTGGGGTTTGCATGCATTAACTGTCCCAACACGGTTTTATAGATGAGAAGATGATCAAAATTTAAGACCAAACCGTAATACTATCTCCAGTCCATCTTATCCTTCACATCCATGTCTATATATAATCCCCTCTCTCAATCCCCCGCTTCACAGCCAAAGTCATCTTTTGATTAGTCACTTAATTAGCTACTCTATCCAACTATGGCTAATTATAAGATGCCTTCTTCTTCTAAGCTTCTTCTTCTTGTGCTTCTCGGTGCTTTCGTTTTCACTAGTGGTGCAAGGAAGCTTGGCAGTGAAAAGGGTTCTTTTGAGGATCAGAAAAACTTGTTTCACCGTGGTGGTGGTGGACTAGGCGGTGGAGGTGGTCTTGGAGGTGGAGGAGGTTTAGGTGGTGGTAACGGTGCTGGTTTTGGTGGTGGTGCTGGAGCTGGTGGTGGACTTGGTGGCGGTGGTGGTGGAGGATTTGGTGGTGGTGGCGGTGGAGGAGTAGGTGCTGGATCAGGTTTTGGTGGAGGAGCTGGTGGCGGGTTCGGAGCTGGTGGTGGCCTTGGGGGTGGAGCTGGAGGAGGTGGCGGCGGAGGATTTGGAGGTGGTGGAGGAGGAGGACTTGGGGGAGGAGCCGGCGGAGGTTTCGGTGGAGGAGCTGGTGCTGGTGGTGGGCTTGGGGGTGGATTGCCTTAAAGACGTACATGATCTGCACGAATAATCTACGATTCTACATGCACTTCCAAATCAATTATTTTTACCTTGAATTAATAATTTAGTACTATTGAATTGAACTCTCTCTAGCTCTATAAGTATGTGTTAGGGAGAGTCTTGTTGTTCGTGTCAATTGTAATGTGTACCATCGTTGCTTTGGCTACGAAGTATTCTAATGGTGATGAGTTTGTTCAATTCTAGTTCGACCCTTAATTTATTGAAGACACAAAGCTGATCTTCATATGAATGTTTGCCCAATTGTGCTAATTAATGTCCATGTGTTATTATAAGAAACTTTTTTCTGCTCGTGACCTCCAGCCAATGATAAGCGCTCTCCATCTCACTCGTATACAAATGACATTGCTGAATTTAACTACTAAATGTACCATAATTAAAACTAACTTGTCTTTATAGTTTATTGTGACGAGTTATAACTTCTTATTGTTCATAATAGATTGAGATAAGTTAACTGTGACGTGGTTTACATAATGGACCTATCCATAATATTTTTTGTGTACTTACGCGGGCAACTAATATGTCTCACTTTTATGATATATTAATTAAATAAACAATTACATAGGTTATAATTGTAGTGGAATTTTGACACCAAGTAGCGATATTTTAGACATTGAAAATTTTCCAACTATAGATGTTGTCGCTCATTACTCTTATTAGTTTATAGGTAGGAAACTGATAAACACACACCCTTCAATATTTCACTCATCCCTATTTAGCTATGTCCATATTGTTTCGTTTGATTTATTCAATTTGATAAAAAAAAAATAAAAATAAAGGAATTGTTATTAGCACTAAAAACATCTCATTTGGCACTCTAAAGTTTCTATAATTAGAAAGAAAAATACATTTGTGCGGAGTATAGAACAAGATTTTTGGATTGCTAATAATAGTTTTCAAAAATAATTATGGTGTGGAAAAATCACCTTTATTAGAGGTATATATTAAACAATTTTGAGTTTGAAATCCCGAACTTGATGGACTTGGGACCACTGATGAGGTCAAAAATATAATCAAAAGGGTAATGTTAGAGAGATAAAATTTTGAAAACTAAAAGACATAGAAATTGATAATTTGTTTATTACTTAAGCGTTGATAAACGTGTCATTTCTATTGGTGATACATCATTTAGTTTACAAATTTTATCTCCACAATCTTCTTAGCATTACCCTAACCAAAAGGTCCATCTGAATTTGAGGGATTTCAAAATAGGGATTTATTACATGTTTATGACCGGATATGAGAGAAGTGAAGTGCACTTAAAATTGACTTCTCCACAATTATTAAAATGTGGTAATATTGTGGATGGATCATATATATATATATATAAATAATTTATCGAGTACCTCAAGTTCAAGGTAAACACCGATCAATCATTTGTTCAATTCTTTCTATTTGTTTATAACAACTGGTTTAATGACATCTTTAATCTTGGTTATCATCCACATCAAGTTCCACATAACTCAATTAACAATTCATTTAATTTTGGTATAAATGTTCTCATCGTTATTATTAGCACTAGTTCCGCCCCATTTGGTATCAGAACCAGATCAGTCAAGTGGTGGGATAAAATAATGTTATCTTTTTGTGTGTACTAGTGGCGTACGTATTTAGACAAAACATATAATTTATTTGTATGCGTAAATGATTGATAATATATGATGCTAGTAAGTGCGCTTAGGGGGCAAACCTCTCTTTCTTGCGCTGCATCTGTTTGAAGTTTATGGTGCGCATTTGCTCCGAATCCTGTTTTACTGATGCTTTGCTTGACTGAGTGCCGACATAACGGTTTGGAGTTTAGTTGCGAACTAGGTTTGGCATCTTTTTATTCGTCTACGGTCTCTTTCTGAATCCTGTTTTTGCTCCCTTTGTATTTGATTTTAGGAAGACTTTGGATGCGGTCCTTAACTATGAATATTCTTTGATTGAAACCTTGTTGGTTTTTAATTTTTGATTGAGGTCCCTGAAATTAATGTGATAATTTATTTCTATGTATGTTTGTCACATCCCGGCCCGGGTGGGACCACTTCCCTGGCCCGCTCCACCACCGTAGCATGATATTGTCCGCTTTGGGCTTACCATTCCCTCACGGTTTTGTTTTTGGGAACTCACGAGCAACTTCCCAGAGGGTCACCCATCCTGGGAGTGCTCTAGCCCTCTACTCGCTTAACTTCGGAGTTCCTACGGAACCCAAAGCCAATGAGCTCCCAAAAGGCCTCGTGCTAGGTAGGATGGGAATATACATTTAAGGATCAGTCCCCTGGGCGATGTGGGATGTTACAATGTTACTATATTTTTTTTAAATTAAAAATTAGAAATTTTAGTTTTTTTTTTATATAAATGAGATTTTAAATAAAAAATCATAATTTGTGGGATTAAAAATATTAAAATATAAATATACTACTGTGTGTGTATAAACATGGGTACATTCATCAAAATTAACAAAAAAATTAATCAAAACATGGGTACATTCTTCAAAATCACCCAAAAAAAAAAAGAGAGAGAGAGAGAGAGAATGTACCCATATAAGTTTAAAAATGGATTAGAAAAAAATTGAATAAATTTTAATTAAAAAAAAGGGTACATTTTACATATAACAAATTGGTATATTTAAGAATGAGTACATTTTAACATTAAAAAGTTTTACATGAATGGGTACATATAATTAGCATGGGTACATTTAGCAAAATAAAAAGTACAATTATGGGTACAAATACAAATAAACTTTAAAAAATATGGGCACAAAAAGAATTTAATATATGGGTACAAATTAAAACTGAAAAGAAAATTGGTACAATTTAAAAAAGAATTACAAATTAAAAACTAAAACTAAAAATATATGATAAAAAATTTAGTCATAAATATAAATAGAGAACTGTTATTACCACTCCAAAAATCTTATTCTACACTCATCACAAGTGTATTTTTCTTTCTAATTATAGAAAGTTTGGAGTGCCAAATGAGATTTTTGGAGTGCTAATAACAATTCCCTATAAATATACTAATTGTAACATTTTTAACATTAAATGAATATATTTAGAAATAAAAAATATTTTATTATTGAAATAATTAATGATGCTATTAATACTCAAGGACCTTGATCAAAAATTGAAAAGGAATAGGATTTTAATCAATAAAGTAGTAAAATGAAGAATGAGAACCTAATTTCTCGTTGATTTTATTACGAATATTCATGTTTCCGTTGGTCTAGTTAAATTTTCTTTATTGATGTGAATAAAAAGAAAAAGAAGGAAGTTCTCATGGCTTGACTGTTTCTCAGGAATGTGGGCGGCTATATTTCGCCAGAGCCTATCACGCAAATGTGGAGCAGGCCCTTTTCTTCAGAGATTCCTAACATGCAACACAGACTAACATGTTGCTTGCATTTTTATAATCATTTATCTTTATTTGTTTTCTGTTAACAGGCTGCCGTCAGTAGACTCCAATCTTCTACATTTGTAAGATCCCATCCAGAAATCTATTTTTAGATTTTTGCGTGAAAATATGGTATTCCTATGAAAAAAAAACAATGTCAGATATCATGTCAGCTCAGGACGTGTGACGGTAATCTTATCATTTCATCTGTTTGATCTTAAACTTTAGCATCCAAAACAACATCTGATTGTTGACAAACTATTTTGTTTTAATGCCTCAGGAGTTGTAACCTTTTTGCAAAAATACATGTTTGTCATGGTTATTATGTTCTGAAATGAGTAGAAACACAGTAGACTGGTAGTACTTGTTAAATAAGTACGCATTTTAATTGCTTCATTAAATTTCTTCAATCTGTTTTCTTGCAGGGCCTCGTTTTGGCAGTTATCCGCAATGCTGATAAAATGAATTTTGCTGAGATAGATAAGGAGATCAATGATGAGTTGATTTTATATTATATATTTAACCATATGCTTGGTATATTTTGGTTATTATTTTGGAAGAATTTAATTGTATTTTCAATATAGGACTTTCGGCTTTCTCTGGAACAAAACGTTATCAAATGGATGAATTTTGAAGTAATTCCAGTTGGAGACATTCGTGAGTCACTTGGCTTGATCATATCAAAATTTGGATTTTTCTACCAAGCGGTGATTTTTTTTTGTGATAGAATAAAGGAGAAGTGCATGGTGCTGGAAAAGTGATGGGTTTGAATTGAGTTTTTGGAGCCCAAGATGACCTCTGATGGGTTCGAGGCCTTCTGGAGATTTTTTTTAGAATGTTCCGGTCTTCAAAACAAGCTATCATGGGCTAGATTTGGAGGAGATTTGAGGCTAAAACATGGCTGGACAGTTTCCTTGCAGATTCTCCTAGCTTAATTAAGACTTTATTTTCTAAGATATTTTATTATTATTTGGTTTCCTAGTTGGAACAAAAGACTATGTTTTAGGGATTATGCGATGGCTTTAGCGTAGGCATAAGGTTTTAGCTGGCCCTAGTTTCGTTGAACCTTTTCTTTTATGCGACTTTAGAGATAGAGAAATTGGCTAAGGTTCTTGAATATTTTTAGACTTTTACATTAAGGTGTTTTCAATCCTTTCCTTTATAATAAAATTTTCTATGATTTTAATATGAATATGCGTAGTTAATCCGTTTTACTAGGGTGAGGCCACGAGCCTTAGCAAGAATATGTAATTTCTATTTAATTGCTTATGATTGATTGCATGCATGCTTTGAATTATTGATCACTGTTTTAAACTGTCTAATTGTCTTAATGCTTGATCACCATTAGGATCTTTAGAAAAGTAATTTGATACAATTTTGGTTGGAAGGTTCCTTGAAATTGACGCTGGTTTATTGTGGTTAATAATTGTAATTTCACTTAAGATGAACACCACGTCTTAAGGGTTGCATGATTTTTAAAAGGGTTTTCATAAAACATAATGAGTCGCTCATGTTTATATTTGATCCAAACGTCTGGATGGATTGCATGTTAGATATATGTTTTATGTTGGAGGTTCCAAGTAGAATATATATTAGGAAAACCTAACCTTCGAAGTGGCATGTGTAGATCATAAGTAATTGGTAAAAATACATAGGATTGCTAGGTGATGGTGGAACCCTAGTGTTTTTATACATTGGTATTTAAAACTCTTTTCTTTTATCATATTAATTTTGGGAGAATTTAGTATTTGTTTTTAATTAAAATTCGTTTTTAATATTATCCCATTTTAAAATCTCTTTTCTCAATTTT